GGTCTGGGGATAATTTGGTGCAATGGACCTGGGGTTCATGCCCAGTACCAGTACCAGTAAAAGAAATAACCATTTGGTGTAACCGCTAGTGGCTAATAGAAAGAAGCTTTGCTTGAAGTATGTCTTCTCTAGCACCTGGGGCAAGTTCAGTACATTAAGTCCTGTTTAATGAGGCTTTGCATAATTAGATAAAAGTAAAGGGCCAATCAAGGAGAGAGGAATGGGGTAAAGGGCACAACAGACAAGGGAGAAAGCCCTGCTGAGGAGACACATGGTCATTCATCACTTTCCTCTTTGGGGCCCACTCCAATGCCATCAACATTGTACTAACCAATCTGAGGCACTGCTAGTGTTGACCAACAGTTTTATTCCTTTGTTTAAATATGTTTGAGCTCTGGCCTTCATAGGCTGAGGACAACAAGGTGTGGGAGCACCATTACCTTCAGGCAGAGAGGCTTTCTCTATGCATGGGTTACCTGTAGAAGATTCACAAGTAGATGGTGTGGATTTAGCCCTGGAGGCCCTGGAGTCCCCAGAAAGCTTCAGCTCTAGATTCTGAATCTTCAGCATGCACCAAGTTTTTAACTCATCCACCAAGGACGTCTAAAAATAAGTAATTAGAACACCAAAAAAATCAAGTGAATTTGATATGTGGATTCTGAATTAAAGTATTAAGAGGGAACTTTTAGAATTATGATACTTGAGGTTACCATTTTGAGAAACCAAAAAGTTGTGGATTGCCCATTCACCCACAAGCCATACCTAGCACTCAAACCTTGAACTATCTATAATCTTCATTAAGTGGCTTAGAGCCACCTTAAACCCAACTGCCCCAATTTTTCAAAATAAATATTTCTGTCTACTTAGAAGCATAAACACTCAGAAACTCACCGACACTCCATCTTTTGCTCCTGAGTAAATGCCATCAGGGCAGGATCCAGTTCTTGTTTAACAACAGTGTACAAGCCAATGATCGCCCACTATATGGAGCTGACTCGGGATGGGATGACATTTTCCCCAGCATAGTGTCTCCACCCACTGTCAGCGTGTCAGTGACAGACACAGACCAAACTATAGGTTTTTTGCTGTGAACTTCATTTTGGGGTTATAAAAATAAGTGCAAATGCTTTTGGGAGTCTCAGCCTCAGCATATTCAGTGATAGGTTTGATGTTATAACTCAGTGGGTATGTGGTAAATCCTAAGTGAAAACTGACAGCTACTGGCTTTTACCTGACGTTTTTCTCCTTCATGTTTCTCAGCATCTGAGTGCTGTTGCAGGCGGTTCAAGCATTCTGTCCTCTCTGCTGAGAGCCGCTCAACCATCAGCTTGTCCAAAACACGAATCTAGGATTGAAGGGGAACAGAGAGCACACTGAGGTGATGGAGGGTGAAGCCCTGATCTCTCCACTCATGAGGACAGGGTCAGGTATTCAGAACAGAGTCCACAAAGCACACAAGGAAACCAACTTCTGACACTGTTTCCATATAGTGTTCACGGAACACTAGCTTTTCAGAATTCTTGAGCATATTTCTATAAGCCAGTGTTCTTTCTCTTTTTCTTTGTTAAAGTCCTAATGGATTTAAGACTATGAAGACACAGTAAATATACAATTTGAACCTTGTAGGCAAACATGAATGTTATTTTCAAGACTATTATTAGGAAAAACTATCTCTAAAATATGGAGCTATTGCCATACTCTACCCTTATTCACACAATTATGCAAACATGAACTGATGCCCAAGGGGTAATGAAGCAAGCGGCATATTCAGTGAGCAGGTATTTTGGGTGCTACATTAAAAGTGGTTAAAGAAGGTTTAAAAAGGGTGTGGGAAGATTTAAAGGATTGCTTTACACAGCAAGTGATTATTATTCTTCAGTCACAGCCTGCAGGAGCCTCCCTCCATTCTGACATTGTCTGGAGGCCCTAAAACCTAGCACTTTTCTGTCATAATCCAAGGAAGAGAATGGAAGTGCATTAGCAGGAGCCAGCCCATGGCAGCCCGCTGGTGAGTTCCTCTCTCTTTGGTAGCATATACAGTGTGTCATTCCACAGACAGATGTTCACAAAATGAAGAAACCCCGGTTGTGGGGCTGTGGGGAGCACCTTCTGTTTTGTCTCCTCAGTCCCCATATATTGGTGAACTGTTCTCCCACTGTGTTCTAAAGCCAGCCTGTTCTGCTCCTTGTCTGCTTCCTATAGCGGCATCTCTGCCAAGAGCAGTTGCGCATACACAGGGCCTTGTTTCCGGCTTACAGTGGACTGGTCCAGGCCTCAGTGTCTGACAAACTGGGCCAAAGTTCTGTCCCTGCCATTTGAATCCTATACCCGAATCTTTCACCTTCTTTGAACTGGAGAGAGGCCCTTGGGATCCTAGTATCAGCTCTTCATGAGCAAAGCTATCTAAAACAGCCTTACCCAATCTATCATAGCCCTAAGATTTTAAAAACAGCCTTTCCACATTTTTATTACACTTAAAAATGTTCAACTTTATCAGTAAATAAGGACATGAAATCTAAACAATAAAAGATCTTTTTTAAAAAACATAGTAATGCTAAATGATGGCAAAGGTTTGAGATAGAAACTCAGGCATTGCTGGGTGGGATATAAATTGGTATAGCTTTTCCTTTAAGTAACTGGCCAACATTTATCAAGAGCCTTAATCATTGACTTTGTATTCAATTACCCTAATTCTAAGTAAAATCCCTAATTATCCCTATCTGAGAAATACTCAGAAGTTTATGCACATAGATAGTCATCATAGCATTATTTATGAAAATAAAGCATAAAAATAAGTTATGTTGTATTTGTATGCTGCAATATCATGGATCTAAGGACATGAGAAAATGATCATGACATAAGTGAACAAAGCAGGAAACAAAATACTATTCCTCCATAGGTAGGAACAGTACTGTCATTAAAAACCACACTGTAGGGCTGGTGTGTAGCTCTGTGGCAGAGCATCCTGGAACCAAAAAAGAAAAACCACACTGTAGTTCTATATGTATAAGGCACATCACTACATAAAAAAGCAAACTGCCAAAAAGCCACCCTTTTTCCTTAAAAGTGGCTATTAGAGAGGATAAAATGTATAACATTTCCTATGGGAGATGGGAATGCTCTTAGAATGTCACTAAGGTACATATTTTTGTTTTTTTCAATGCACATTATTTTGCACATTTCTGTATTTTTTTAACTGAAAAATCTTACCCATCACACATTTCTTAACAAGATGTGATTGAAAAATATGATGTATGTTTACATAAAGTTATGATAGTAAAAGGCACATTGTCATTAGTCCCTCCTCAGAATATTTCCCTTCACCTCAAACACTGTTATCCTATCATTCTTGCCACTTTCTGAAGGAGTTCTGGAAGTCTTCTTTCCCAAGTGTCTTTACTTGCACTATTGTGGCTGTCTTGATGAGTAATATTATGGATGGTAGTATAATCTTTTTTAAGATAAGGTATTATTATTATTAGTTGCACTGTCAAGGCTGCTTCGATGTCCTGAGTTGATTCAAAATGTTAACCTTTCATGATCATTTTCTTTGGGGAAGAGCCAGAAGTTGCACAGTGCCAGGTCTGGTGAATAAGGTGATGAAGACATATTATCGTGTTTTTACAAGCTTGCCTTATTGGATTGCACTCAGTAGTTGCATTCTGAATTCTGATCACATCACGTAAAGACACCCACAAAAAACTATTTTCAAAACTGCATCAGAAAGTAGCAAGAATGACAGAACAAGTGTGTTTGAAGTGAAGGAGAGTATTTTGAGGGGGATTAATGGTAAAATGTGTCTTTTACTATAATAACCTGGAGGTCTTGTTAAAACATAGGTTGATAGACTCTAGCCCAATTTTATTCAGTTAAATTTGATTCAATTCAAAGACATCCTCTTTAATAAATTATGCTGAGAAAACTGGTTCTCCACATGCAGAAGATTGAAGCTAGATGTTATCACTCAACCCTGTACTAAACTAAACTAAAAATGCATCAAAAAACTGTTAAAATAGAATAACCTGCTGGAAAATAAAATAGGTAAAACTGTAGGAGTCATGGTCATAGGCAAAGACTTTCTCAACAGAACCCCAGTTGCACAGAAAATAGTACCAAGAATTAGCAAATGGGATCATATCAAATTAAAAAGCTTCTGCACAGTAAAAGAAACAGAGTGAAAAGACAACCTACAGAACATATAAAGATCGTCTAGACTAGAACTAAAAAAAATAAGACCTACCACAATAAAATATCCAGTCAAAAAATGGGCAAGTGAAATGAATGGATACTTCTCAGAACAAGAAATACAAATGGCCAATGAATACAAGAAAAAGGTTCAACACTGCTGGCCATTAGAGAAATGCAAATAAAACGATTTCATCATACCTCAGAAAGAATGGCTACCTTCAAGTAATTGCATAACAAATGCTGGTGAGACTGCAGGGAAAAGGAACCCTTCTCTACACTGGTGGGAATGTAAACTGGAGATTTCTCAAAAAACTAAAATAAGAAATTCCATTTCATCCAGCTATTTCACTTTTATGTATCTTCCCAAAAGAGTTAAAGACGTCATATTATGGTGATCCATGCATCCTCATGTTTATAGCAGCACGATTCATAATAGCTAAATCTTGGAAGCCGCCTGTATGTCCATCAATAGATAAATGGATAAATAAACTATGGTATTTACACAAAATGGAGTACTATTCTGCCATAAAGAATAAATGAGTCATTTGTAGGAAAACAAATGCACCTGAGACCATAATGTTAATGTGAAATAAATAAGACACATAAACTTAAATATCACATGCTTTCTTTTATATGAGAAATTCAAAATATAAATAAAGGACTATAGGAAGCAGGGAGATAGATCTTTCTCAAATAGGGAAGGGATCAAGAGATGGAGGGAGGGCAAGGTAGTGGGTGAAAAAAAGAACTGAGATAAGTATAGTACCAACTCCTCTCAAGAAATGTAAATATATATTGCAAACATGTACTAATAAAAATAAATAAACTCAATTCAACAGATCTGGAATGAGGCCCAAGAAGTTGCTTCCCTGAACCCCCCAAATCCATAGATCTGCTAAGTCCAGGGATTACACTTTGAGAACTATTGTTCTAGACCTAACTTTCACTTTACAGAAATAAGGATAAAGGGACAATTAAAATAAGGCCATGAAGAAACTATCAGACAAATCTAGAATATAGAACACCCAGAATATATAAACAACTGGCCTTGATGTATAAAAGAGTTAATATTATAGACAGAAAAATGTGGAAGGAGGAATCAGGGGTTGTTCCAGATTAATAAAGGACAGAGCCCTAACAGTCAAATACACAAAAAAATCTTTACTCTGCCTAGACTGGAATTAAAAACAAACCCAGTTATTTAAAAAAATAAGGAACAACAGAGAATCTGAATGTGGACTGAATTCTACACAATTACTTTACTTTCTTGGGTGTGATAAGAGTGTGGTAATGAAGGAGAAAGTCTATTCTTCATCAATGCACTGTGAAGTATTGAGAGATAATCTGTCAGCACAATCTCTAACTAAATCTCAAACAGTTCAAGAGGAAAAAATAGCATGGAAGTCAGAAACAAAGCAAAAACAGTAACAGTACAAATTGGTTGAAACCAGGTGTGGGTAAGTAAGCAGCCATTATTTTGTTCTTTCAATTTTTCTGTATGTTTGACAATTTTCCAAATAAAAAGCTGAAAAACAACAACAAAAATACAGACATGATTATTCTAATTTTGTCTGAAACCATGAAGGGGTGTAGGGCACACTGATGTGTAAAAAGAGTGTAAAACCTCAAATATTTGGTGTTTTCTCATCACAAAGGGCTTATGGGTGATTTATTTTCTTTCCAATTTTCACCTTTTCAAGTGCTGTAAAATATACTATTTGTATAATCCAAAGCAATTTAAACCCCTTCTTAAAAATTCTAAATAAATGCACTCTGCCAAAATTGCACATACAGCCTCCTCCCTGACAGCTCATTGGACAGTTTCAGGGCGGAAGGGTTTGCTAAGGCCACTCCCCTATCTCCTTTGGAGACGAGGGGATGGGTGCTCTGGATAGAACCCCCCGGGCCTTGTGCATGTTAGGCAAGTGCTCTACCTCTGAGCTACAGCCCTAGCCCCAAAGTATTTTATTTCATTTTCTGACAGAAAGGTAGTCAGGAGGCCTGACTGCTTGCTTACTTGATGCTGGGTCTTATTCTCCATATGCCCCAACTTTGTATTCATTTTATCCTGAACTGATCCCAGCTCTGCTTTTATCTCCTCCACAGTTGCCTCCAACTGATTCTCCAGCTTGTTGATTAGAGGTTCACACCGACAACCATTTATTGGTGCCTAAGAGGGAAATCAAACAGCAATCACACTCTTCTTCATTCCTTCAACAAATATTTTGAGCACCCACTATGTGCCAGGCACAACATCAGGGAGATACAGGAGGAAACAGATTCATCCTGTCCTCACTCTGGAATGTCTTACAGCCTAAACTTTGGACCCAGTAGGCACTAAGAAGATTCCAGGGTAAGACATCTTCCCTCTATCTTCAAGCTGCTTTTATTCTCTATAGCCTAAGGATGGCGAGAATGGTGAGGCTCTGTAACTGAGCCTCCATCTACTGGGTCCTAAGTGACAGGAGTGTCTACTAGGTCCAGACCTGAGGTGCCTACCAGCCCCCAGAATAGAGTTCCACAGAGAAACTTGCCAGTGGTCTCTGGCCCCTTCCCGACAGGCTCCACGGGTACCTGCATCACTTTCCCATCCTTGCCCCGGTACAGCGTGTACAGCTGGTATGCTCTGAACTCATGGGGTGGTGGTGGAGACAAGCACCGATGCCTGCTCTTCTTTTTAGGGTGATGATGAGCATGTGAGTCCTTCTGGGGTCCAGGCTGTTGGTCTGCAGGTGGGGTGAGGTCAGACAATGCTGACACCTGTGAGACAAAGAGAACCAACACTCCTGAGCTCTGCAACATCTGCAAGATTGACAGCCAGCCAGTGGCTCTCGTCTCCCGCATTCGGCAAAGAATCCCACACCTTAGTTCACCATGAGGTGTTCTGCTCCAAACCTCACATTGGCATGCCCACCTCCTTTCTATTAGGCAGGTTTAAGTTCCATGTTCTGGCTCCAAACCAGCCAGCCAGATCAGGAGGCTTCTCAGCCAATGGGCATGACCAGTCCCAGGATCCTCCGTCAGTCTCCCTCCCAGCTGCTTTCACGAGCCTCCTGACCTTGGGCCTTGACTTTCTCCTCCTGTTATCCTTTGCTCTGGGCTCTGGGGAGGCTGACAGAAAGTCTTCTTTGTCTTCCTCTTTGCTGACTACAGCCTGTTCGCTGCTGGGGGTGTCTCCTGCTGAGACACTTCCCTAAAAGAGGAAAGAGCCAAGAAACCTTTTCCACCTGCTCCTTCAGCCTGCCTTGTTTGCAACAACAAAGTAAAGTTGTATGCTTGTGCGACTCCATCTAGTGAGACCAAACTTTACCAATGACAAATTTCAGACACAGGGAGCACTACCTGGTCTTTATATAATGCTTTTTCGGTTTGGCTGAATAATTGGCTTTTGTCAGGTCTCCAGTGAAATATATTCTTGGGTCTAATACTACAATTCCAGGAACTTATATACAATGAAGCATTAGATGTTTGGTCTTTCGCATTTCAACAAAATATAACCTCTTTCATTGTTTGAACTTGGACCCCCCAGTTTATGACAGAGTAAAAATACTCAGAAATGAAAGATCCTCTTTCTCATTCTTGTAAGAACTTTTATAATTTAATATGTACAATTCACATATAGGAATTTAAGAGTCACAATGGCTTAACCCTGGACATTGATAAGAGGCTTTTAAAAGAAACAACAGACAGAAGAGCAAGTGCTTAGTGGGAACATCTGATATGCCAAAAGCCATCTCGATACACTTGCCTTCCTCCTGAGAGGCTTGAAAGGGCTGTGCCAGCCCTTCTGTAAGTGAGGAAGCAGGCTATGCCAGTGGTTCTCATCAGGAACAACCAGATGACTTTTCAAACCCAGAATGCTGGGCTCCACCCAGAACTTCTCATCCACTGGGTGTGAGAGGCCCGAGAACCTGCATTTGTGACAAGTCCCAGGTGACACATGGACACTGCACTTAGAGAACCACTACTCTGCACAATTAAGGGCACGGTGTCAGAGGCAGTGCTGTCCCCAGGGCAGAGACAAATGTCGCAGATATGGGGCTAAACATGCCTATTCAGGAAGCTAGATAGATGGTGGGCAGCACACACTGAAGCACAGGATCCAGGATCCTGGCAGAGTGGAGGGAGGACAAGATGCAGAAGGAGAAGGCTGGCAAAAATTTGAGGAGCCCCAGGGGGAAGGGGAGACCGAGGAGGGCTTGAGAACCAGGTGAGCCAGTGGAAGAAGCAGGACACTGGACAAGTGGGTGGCCATGGCCGGCAGGCAGGAGGACCCCCACCTTGCTTTGTGCCACCTCCTCTCTCGGTACAGACTGCGCCCTCCTTTCCTCCTTGAGCCTCTCTCTCCTTTTCCTCAGGCTTCGCCCTCGACTGAAGCGCAAGACCTATGGGAGGTAAAGGGTATTATTATAGGCCACTGGTATGTGCAGCTCTGGTGAGAAAGAATTATCTTTGGGCCTGGTGCCCTGACCTTGGGAACTACAGCTGCATGGAGACCAGGTATTCACAGAAAATGAATGATTCTGTGTCCACCGTGCCTCTTAGGTTTTGTGATAGGTGCTACAGGGACCCAAAGATGGGTAGGATATTGTCCCCAACCTCAGCAAGTTTAGATTCCATGATGATAACAGGAACACAGGCATTTATGTGCCAGACCAGGATAGCCAAGTGTATATAAGGAACACCACTCCTGAAAATCAGGATATGAATAGTGTCCCCTGGGGTTGTGCAATTGACAGCCCAGTGCCTGGCGGAGTCTTGACCTTGGTACGCTAGACCTGAACTGGCCCTTCAGATTTTCCTTTTGCTAAACTGTGTGCAAGTCATATTCACTTTGATCTGAACGTTACTGAGGTGAATCCTTGAGCTATTGCTCCAGCTGTGGCTTCCAAAAGGAATTTAGTCTGCCCCTTTGAGTGATTTGACCTCTCTGTGCTCTACCTTCTCAGATGTAAAGTTGTGGGTTGGGCCTGGTGAGGCACACCTGTAATCCCTACACTCAAGAGGCTGAGGCAGGAGGACTGCTATGAGTTCAAGGCCAGCCTGAATTACACAGTGAGACTCTGTTTTAAAAAACAAGTAAAATTGGGGAGTTGTTGGGGTTAACCAAGAGTAGTAGTAGGTGACCATCACTGCAGATGCCTCCCCACCTGTCTTAGACTTGCTTAACTGGCAGAGGATGTTCAATCACACAGTACAGATCTTTGACCTGGTAGAACCCTTCAACCTCTGGCCTGTAGTATTTAAGACCACAAAAGGATGCTTGGACCAAAAAAGTCTGCAAGCAACTGCTCTAAGCTTTCTCGATGCTATATTTAGACCCATTGGGAAGTCAAGTCTCATGAAAGCCTGTCTCTGATTGCTCACCTGATTTGTGGACTTTTAGAACAGGACACAGTGCAAAAAGCAGCCTGCAATTCACTCTTACAGCATGTGTGCATTATGTTAGTCGGATATGACAAATGATACACGGAGGTCATCCAAACACAAAATAATCATGGGAAGAATTTCCTCCATTTACCATGTTTTTGGCCAGTGAAAATAACTTGGTGTGGGGCTTCTAGCCTCTCAGAGAAGCATACCATCTATCAAATGGAATACTGTCAATCTTTACTAGTCCACAGAAATCAGACAACTCTGATATTGAAGGCGAAAAAGAAGTTTCCTCTTAGTATCGCCATGGCCCATTCAAGTCCCTGTTAACTAAGGAGCTGAGGCCAGGGGATTTCTCTTCATAGATGAAACGGTAAGACTGCTATGTAACCACAGATCATCAGAATGGTATGCATAAAACTTTATACATAAAGTTCCTTCTCTATGTTTCAAATAAGGCTTAACATCTAGCATTATGTATGAAACTTTCATGTCATCTAATTTATTTGCTATTCAGTACTGCCACAGAAAAACCCGAGTTATTTTTAAACATAAACACAAAAGGAAAGCTGCACCAGGAAATAGCAAGGCTGTTTGCCCATAAGTGAAGATCCTTGGGCTCTCAAAGACAAATGACAGGTGTATTAAAGATACATCAGTCTTCATGTGCTGAGGAACTTCTCCAGCTGCATAAGACTTGATGATCTTCATATGGCTGAGAATGGGCTGACTGTCCATCGAACTGCCAAATACTGAAATGCCAGATAAATGTGATGGATTCTGACATTTAGATAGCACTGTGAATGCACACACACGTGCATGTGCATGTGCGTGTGTGTGTGTCTGTTGAGGACTGGACCCACAGCCTTACATATGCTAGGCAATAGTTCTGCCCCATTCTGTACATTCTGATCCATGAGAGACAGCATTTTTCCATCTGGATCTACAGGTATGGTTCAATTGATAATTCTTTGCAAAAACAAAAAACCCAGAAGAGATAAAATATTCCACTTCTAGAACATTCTCATACCTCTCAATTTTCAGAAGCCACAAGGACCAGCCCATGCTCAAGAGGTTGATCAATTTTGCAAAAGACAAAAATCTTAATGATTCCAGAAACTGCTGGTCACATTAGGTATGTTTTTAAACATTTAAAAATAAAGACCACACAACATTCTAATCTAGGCTGGTATTCAGAACTCTCTTTTGATTCCTCGAGACTTTGCCTCAGGCTAATGACCTCACAACAGTGAGATTAGATGGGAAGTCAATCAGTGTTTGTGGTTCTGTGTTACAGAATAGCTCCAATCTGGAAATAACCTAAATGTCCAATATTAAATAAATGGTTTAAAAAGTATTGATACTAACAAAAAAGAACATAATGCAAAGAAAAAAAAAGAACATAATGCTTCCATTATAATGAATGAGTGTGATGACTGTAGAATATTGTCCCATTATAGTTAGGATAAAAAGCAGAATACAACAGGGTGTGTATATGTATGTACGTGTGTGTGTGTGTGTGTGTGTGTGTGTATGTATATATATAATATTGGCCTAATTGTAGAAAAACCATCGGTGAAAGGTAATGTGAAGAGACAAAAAGTTATTTCAGAATGCTGGTATTATGAATATCTTATAAATCACCATTAATTTATTGCTATTTAGATTATTTCAACCTCAATTCAAATGATAAGACACCAGCCACTATTTTTGGATGAGGATCAAAATACCAATATTCTATAAAAAGGAATGAAAACTATGCTACACTTATCTGCCCCTGGTGGGTGTTTACTACTCTGTCTGCACAGAATGGTCCTCTTCCTCCCACCTTCCTCTGGGAATGCTCCTTCTCTTTTCAAAGGCCCCATCCCATTTGTTCAAGAGTGGCATTTGGCCAAACTCTTCAATCATGGTCTCCTCTCCTGCCATGTTTTAAATTGGAACTTCTTCCCTGGCGAAGCAGTTGGGAAACTAAGGTCCAGGAAGCTGATAGTGACAATGATCTAACTATAGGGAGAAAATGATGACCCCAGACTAAGAGCTGGACTTGAAGTCTTTGGTTCAGTCATGCAGGAGGCCCACTATATTCCTACATTTGCACTGCCTGGCTAAGCCCATCAATTCTCTACTGACTTGTTTCATTTGGCTTCAACAGTTTGCAACCAGAGGAGTCACAAGAAGTTTGAAGCCACATAATCAATACAATGGAAGGTACAGTAAATCCTACCTGGGGAGCTTTAGTGAGGAGAAGAGCGACTTCTGGATTGTTGTGGTAGCGGGCAGTCTCCAGCGGAGTCTGGCCTGCCTAAGGAAAGGCAGAGGGAGAACAGGTGAGAGAGGGACACCAGTCCTACGACACCCAGCTCTCATCAGGAGCAGGCAATTCCACTCCTGGCCAGAGCAGCATCTGCCTGTGCTCAGTAACAGCCACACAATAGCTCTGCTCTTTACCTCACACCTCTGTCACACTTGAGCACATGCTAATTAACACTTCTGAGTAACAGGGGCAAGTGCTGACCCAGGGTGCAAGAAGTGCTTTAGGAGGCAAAGGTCCAGGGCATTGCCTACCAGAGAATGCTTCCTAGGAAAAGAAAGGAGAGAAAGTAGAAATCAGAAGGATCAAGGAGGAATGCTCCTGATGAGGACAACACAAAGTCATCCTAAAATCCAGGTATCAGTGACTCTTCTTGGAGAAGAGCAGAAAAGAAGCTATGACCACAATGTAGGTGCTACCTAAGCCCAAAATCTAAGAGCCCCAGGGGCTGTGGCTTCAGCAGAGCTCACTAGATCCTCGGGTATGTAAGGAGTTAGGTGATAAAGCACACCCCCATCTGGAAGCGGGTAAGAAAGTCTTTAGAAACCAAGTGCAACTCAACTTACATTATTCACAATGGTCCCGTCTGCTCCAGCTTCCAGTAGGATTTTAACCACCTTCTTGTGATTTAGAGCAGCAGCAACATGAAGGGCTGTGTCTCCAGCCTAAAAATCAGAAGAAAGCCTGCTAAACCCTATCTGATCTCAGCCTTCAGCTCTGTAACTTTTCATCCCTAGCCTAGGGCAGCTCTCAAAGTCAAATTAAAATTTGCCTTACACAAACCTGAGACCCTTGGTTGAAGTGTTACGTGTTTCTATTTAAAGAGATCTTGGAACTATACAGCTAACCCATATCACATTCTGAATGAGAATTCTAGAAGTCACAGAAATAGGATTAAATGCAGGGGCGAAGTCGTGCTGGGCTTGGTTGCTGAGAATGCTGGGGGCCAAAGTGTCACAGAGCCAGAATGATGGGCAGAAAGCCAGAGGTCAGTGGGTTTCTCATCTTGGAGCTCTGGAGCCTGTGTCTCTATCCAGGGAGTCAGAAAACAACTTGGCTTATGACAGCTCAAGTAAGCAGAATTACAAATAAGACTGGAGGGGTACACCCAGCCCTCAGCCCAACAAGGGGTCTAAAGGAGCCATGGGGAGTTACAAATCCACCTGCAGCCTTGGGGTGTTCTTCATTTGGGTGGAGACACCGAGAATCAGTGCTCATTTAATACTGTTTTCTGTGTCTTACCATATAGCCTAGAAATATGTTTTTATATTTTCTCTATACAGAAAATGTTTCCAATCAACTCTAAAAGGAATTTAGTAAGCCAATTCCAAATGCAAATGGTTCAAACAGTATGCTATTACTAAATCAGACAGACACTCGAGAAGTGAAGTATTCATTTTCTTCCCTGCCAGGTGATAAAGCAAAGAGCCTTGATACTTTCTTTCCACAGGCAGAATGAAAACTCAGCCGTGTCTGTAAGTAATGGCAAAATGGTTATTTCACTTTGGAATCATTTAGCTGTGTATGTTGAGGGAATGCTCTGTGGAAGTAGTTTCTAATCTTGGCTACGTGTTGGGATCCACTAGGGAGTTTTACAAACACTGATGCCAGGGCTCTACTCCCAGAACTGACCTCACTGGTCTGTGGTATGATTTGGGTGTGATGATTTTTTTTAAAGCTCCCTGGCAACTCTAAGATGCTGCCAAGCTTAAGAAGCGCTGACTGATGGGGGCTGTAAAGGGGGCTTCATGAATGAGACTACTAGCAAGGTTATAGAGTGACAGGCTTGGCTATTAGTCAGTAAAGGAGCTTTATGAAGAAAAATATATTGCTTGGACCTCAAAACCCAAAGGTGGGCCGAGGACTTAGGCCAGTGGTGTTATGCCTGCCTGGCAGGTGCAAGGTCCTGAACCTAGAGGTTTGGGCTCTTTTAAACTGGGGTGGGCTCAAAGAATGGTATTTTTAGTTCCCCTGTTGATTTTCACATTCATTCAGGGTCAAAATGCTGTTAGAGGGTATATGTAAACTGAACCACACGATAATTTTTAAATATATTTCAGATTGATGTACCCAAACTCAGAAAAGTCAAACAATGCATAATTCCGGTATCAATAAATACCAAGACAATTTGTTTCTTTTATCCAAATGACTATTGAGAAGCCTGAACCTTTCCAGAGAAGACTGTAATAATCAAAGGTTCATTTAAAAACTCCATTATATGGTACACATAGATATGTCATATACCCCATTTTGCAAGAAATGAGAAAGTGCAGCAGCTCAAATAAAAGTGGCAGTACTAGAAACAGAACTCAGGGGAGTCATGAAACTAGTTCCCTTCTATAGTAAGCCACACTTCTCCTTGTGGATTTCCTTTTTTAAAATCATGTTATAAACAAAATTCACCCAAGAGTGTTCAGTACACAAATACAGTGATATGAACAGGAACGATAAGGGTATGCTTTGTCTAGGAGGCCAGAAAAGCCAGAGCCATTAAAACTCAGAGGGATACCCTGTAGGAACCACATAGGTCAGAGGACAACATTTCCCAGCATCCTCTGCTCCCACTGGAGCTAACACACTGTCAGGTAGGCTTAAGTAACGGTTTGGGCACCATGAAGAGGACTCATGCACTGACCTGGTTCTTTTCATGGACAGAACAGAAAGCACTGAGGAGGAGCCTAATGATGGACAAGTGATTATAGCGCGCAGCGACGTGCAGACAGGTGTCTCCTGCCTGCAGGGACAGAAATCAAACTCTAAGCAGTTAGCAGTTACAAAACAAAATAGAAAAATAAAATGAAAATATCATTTAAAAGCTGGCCAACTACTGTATCTTTAAGGAATGTTATGGGGAAGTTGCTCTCTAAGACTTGCAGTCCTATGCTGCTAGGGTTGTTGTCTGCACTCCTGCTAATTCTCCACCTGCAAAGAACCACCACATGGTCAACAAGATCTTTCTCATGTTTATGAAACTGGATGCCTAGTCTTCAGGAGACCTTGGGAAGAGCTAAGCAGAGAATAAGCACCCACGGGCCTGGCCTCCCCAACTGCCCAAAAGATCTGGTGTGAAATGAATCAAACCCGATGGCACTACTTCGGAAACAAGCCTTTCTTGGCACAGAGCTGCCATGGCTGGCAGGACTCTATAATATGGAGCAAAGTATCCTGGACGGCTGATGTGCAAGTAGTCTCTGACAGCAAAAAAGGGCATTCAGGAAAACTTGGGATCTTCCTTGGTGGGCAGAGATCCAACTCCCAGAGACACAACCACCTTTTGGAGACAAAGCTGTGATCCCTCCAGTATTCTCTTGATATTTTCATTTTAGCTGTATGGAGAATGGCAACCACTCAGCGTAACCCTCTCCTCCCTGGATTAAGAAAGAGCCAAGCTCAAAGCTGAGGTTCAGAACATTCTGGATCTGCCTCAGTTGACTCTGTTCCCAAACAAGAACAGCTCCAGCTAAGGGCACTGATAAAAGAAGCCTCAGACCCTCTTCCCAATGCACCTAAGGCATGGACTTACATACAAGGAGAGACAGCTTATTTGTGGAGGGAGGAGGGACGTTCGGGGGATCTTTCTGGTCAACTCATCAGAAGGACACCTCACTAATCAACAGGACCTGCCCTATGTGCAGGCTGGGTAGGGAATGTCACAGGACCTCCCTGCCTGGCACTGTCCTGAGTTTTCTAACAGTACAATACTACATAGGCAGATATTTTCTTAAAGTATTTATGAGTTTCCTAGATTATCGTGGCCAGACACATTCTAGATGAAAAAACTAAAGTTGAGGAGCAAAGTGACAAGGATTTTTTTTTCAAAAAAAAAGGAAGAGTTTAGAGACAGGAGTACTCAAGTACGCCTTCGGGCTCATTTTCCAAGGGGGACACATGAGGAATAGCACAGAAGAAGCCAGTTTGTTCACCCACATTATTTTTGAGGTCAGCACGCGAGCCACCCAGCAGGAGGATGCGTGTGCTCTGAGAGTGGTTGTTCTGGCAGGCCAGGTGCAGAGCCGTGTTCCCTGCCTTGGAGAGAGGAGAGAGAAGGGAGGGCACATTAGTGGCATGCTTCTTCTGCAGACTCACACACCTTGCTGAGGAGTGATTATCACTTGGTGAAGAAGTGGATACTGCTCTGCCTCCTGATGGGGTGGGGGAGAGTGGTTAGATGAAAAATATTGCATGTGGAATGCAAACAGCCAGAGCAGTCCCATGTCACAGAAAACCTTGGTTATAAGTTCTGGCTGTCTCTCGCACTAGTTGAAAGCTACCAGGTAAGGCTCTTCAAATGCTCAGCCACCGTTCCTAACCTGAAGAGTGGAGCATAAGCCCTCCCTCCTGAGCCTCTGCAGTCTGACTCAGAGTCTCAGAAGGCATTTTCTGAAGCATAAAGTACAGTAGCACACACATGCAAGGGGTTGTGAATCCCTCTTAGAGATTACTTTCTTCCCAGCAGGAGTATTAGCTGTGGCTACAATGTGTTACCAATGGGGGAGTCAAAAAGACAAACCAACCACTTACTCAAAGTGCTGGTTAACACTGAGATATAACTTGCAAGCATCTATCAAATTTCCTTTTCTGCTTTTGTTTTGTTTGAGAAAGGGTCTTACTATGTAGTCTAGGCTGGCCTTGAACTCACTGTGTGGCCCAGGCTGGCCTCAAACTCTCAACAATCCTCTTCTCTCAGCCAGAGTACTGGGATTACAGGTGTGTTCCACTCTCCCTGGCTTTTCTTGTATTTTTCTTGAAACATCAAAAACTAAACAATGGACAAGGTGTCTGCCTAATAGGCAATACTGTAAATGCAGTTGTATCTGCCACTTCCCGAAGAGATCCTCTTGCTTTTTTGGACTTTCCTTGTGACGTGCCACCTCACAAGGACAACCAGGGGCAGAACAGTGCCCACAGCGATTTTGTAGAAAGAACTGCATGAAGAACACAATTTTGTGATCCTATGGGGAATAGGCCTGCAGGGCTACAGGTAACTTCTAGAAAAGTAACAAGATCAGGAAAGACAATAGGAGACCTGGCATCCTCGCAGACTAAGTACGTGCACAATCTCAGGGTCTGTCCTGCTAAGCTTAGGAGCCAGGTCAGGCAGCAGCTGCATGGGCACATATCCCTTATGGCATCTCTTGGTTGTTTCTCTCTACCTAGTTTACTGCCCTCTGGGTCTCACAGCACTGTCTGACAAACTTCAGGATATCAGATTCCTGACCTTTTGAAGAGAGGAATTAGCAAGATAAATAGGAAAGACACAGATGAAGCTGTCCATCACCAGTTCACTTACTTGCTGTCATAACCTTAGCTCTTACTAATCTGGATAGATCTTTTCTCTGTTACCTGCAAGAAAATGGAAGATTCCAAACCTGCCCTTTGGTGAGCCCAGAGGTTCTCAACTCCTGGCTGCACATTACAGTTACCTGGGGTTGTGTCTAAGAAAGGACCTGCACAGCTCACATCCTTTTGGGGACTCTGAGTTACTTGTCCTAGGCTTATCCGGCATTTGCAATATTCTGGGGAAACCAGGACAGTCGGTTAGCCTAGACTTTTTGATTTTTTGGTACCGGGGATGGAACTCAGGTCCTTGCACTTTTGAGTCAAGCGGCGGCACCACTGAGCTAAATCCCCAGCCTTAGCCTAGACTTTTTGTTTAAAATTCCCCAGGAAAATGTAATGTGCAGCTATGTACAGAACCACTGCTAGCTTAGTTTTCAACGATAAAGAATCTGCCCACATTTTAATGCTTTGCTCCCAACCTGTGTCTTTCAAGGCAGTCAGTTGAATATGTGCTGAATAAGCAAAATAAGCTGAATAAATGAGCAATAAGCAAAATCTGATGGCTTTAGAAATATACCAAAGTTTACTTCGCCAATAACAAAATATCAATCATGTGGAAAAATACTTGGATCAAGACAATGAAACACTGTAGATTTAGATGGCCACTCATGCACATCTCTAGTGGAGTACTATCTGGCAGTAGAGGGTGCTGAGCTATGCGTACATGAACCACACAGAATTGCAAACACATCACACTACGTGAGAGAAGTTGGACATAGAAGGCTGCATGCTCCGTGAATCTACTTACATAACATTTTCCAAAAGGCAGATCTATGGTTGCCAAGGGATGGGATTGGGTTTTAGGGGATTGCTATCAAAGGGTACAAAGGAACTTTCTGGGGTGGAGTCAAAGCTCCTAAGCAATATAGTTCATACCTAAAAAATGAACTTTATGTAAATTTTACCTTAAAACCTAACATTAAAAAACACAACCTATGGTAGATATGTGTAGCAGACAATTTTGCCACTTTGAGTAATGGGTCCTCATTTCCTAGACAGAAGTAAAAAGGATCATTCTAGAATTCTCCCATGAGCTGTCTAGGGCAGAATGTAGAAGCCCTTCTTCTGGGATGGCATGAGATACCATACCGGTACCTCCAAAGGCTCTGCCACTTTATCTACAGAGAAAACTTGTGGCTTTCCACATTTCTTTTGGGGCTCTTCATGGGATAAAGGGAATGTGGTGGACCAGACAGACTAGGGCTAGTTTATAGCCCTAAATGTGTCACAAACCACACATCTTAGTCAAAGAGTCAACCGGCCCACAGTTTAAACTTACTTACCCTGAACTGGGACACATATTTCTCATAGCTGGGATAAAATGGCATGATTATACACCAACTTATGAACCTGATTATGTGCCAGCTTGAAAATAAATGGAGCAGCCACCAGCCTGCCAAGCAGTGAGCCAGGCATTATTGGTAATATTGCCACACACACTTTGCTTCTTTCCCTCAAGCTTTTGACCCATGAAGGAACTAGGAGACATGTGACCAGTGGACAACAGCACAAAACGGTGTGGTGTCAAGAGAGAGCTGCAGAAAATGGCTTGGTGGGCCTTCTGGGAGACACAGACTGGGGCCCAGGTTGGAGATGTGCAGGGTGACAGGAGTGGCTACTCCTAAAGGAGTATGCAACTGGAGGAGACACATGACAGGCAGAGGGCAGCAGGAGGCTGGAGAGCTACATTAGAAGGTTTCTAAGTGAGGACAAGCAAGATGAAGAAGGCACTAGACTCAGGCTGGTAGACTCAGGCATGAGACTCAAAATACCATAAGGTTTCCAAGATAATCTAGAGATGTTTAATAATGCGCATGGAAAGAAGGGCAGATGGAAGATATTAAAGGAACATCTTACACTGTGGTAAGTGACCAGAGAGGGGAAGACATGAAAACAAAGGCGATGAAACACTTATTCTGTCCCTGTCTGCTTGAGGACAAGAATAGCTTGCTTCTCAACACCAGTAAACCACTGGAAAAGCAGGGAGAGCTGGGAAGATTTCAAAAGAGGTCAAAGCCACTGAAGTAGGTTCTCTTGCTTCTTATGGAGGCTATTTTCTGTGAAGTGTTTACAGCTCTTATTTTTTTTCCATTAAGTTTATTGGTACATTTAAAGCAAACAATACAGTTACATTTATCATTGGGATCTTGTACCTTTACATGATATATCTTGGTTCTTGTTTTCTCCCCCATACCCCTGCCCTCCCTTCACCCTTCCCTATTTACAAAGACTTTGTTTCCATTTATTCACATTTTTTCTTTTCCCTTATTTTCTTTCCCTTCCCCTTTCCCACTTCACCTTTAGCATTTTCTTCCTATTTCACACTCCCAATTTGTACCATTTGAACCTTATTTACACTTTTAGTTTTTCACACCAGAGAAACTATTTGGTATTTACTAAAGTATGTTCTATTTAATTCAATTAAGAGTATAGCCTCAATGTGCATCCATTTAGCTAAAAATGTTTCTAGTTTATCATTCTTTATGGCTGATAGTATTCCATTTTTTAGAAAAACCATTTTATTTATCCAGTCTTCAGTTGATGGGCATTTGGGTTGTTTCCAAGTTTTAGCTATTATGATTTTTGGCACTATAAACATGGGTGCACATATATCGCTGTAGTATGATTCTTTTAATTCTTTTGGGAAGATACCCAGCAGAGCAGTAGCTGGGTCAAATGGAACCTCTAATCCTAGTTATTTGAGGTATCTCCATATATGATTTCCACAGTAGTCGCACCAGTCTGCACTCCCACCAACAAAGGAGAAGGGTTCCTTTCTTCCCATAACCCCACCAGCATTTGTTACTGGTTGATTTCTTGATATCAACAATTCTTTCTGGGGTGAGGTGGAATCTCAGTGTTTTCATCTGCATCTCTCAAACGACCAGTGATGTTGAAAATTTTTTCATATATTTATTTGCTGCTTTTACTTCTTCATCTGAGAAATGTCTGTTCATTTCAGAAGCCCATTTTTGAATCAGCTCTTTGTATTTGGGGGGGTCTGACTTTTTTTTAGTTCTTTATATATTCTAGATAGCAGTCCTTTAAGGAACAGCTGGTAAAAATTTTTTTCCCACATTGTAGGGTTGTCTCTTAGCTCTGCTGATTTCTGTTGCACTGCAAAAACTTTTTAATACAATGATCCCGGTTGTTCTTTATGCAAGTTCTCATGTGTTCATAAAGTCTTTTCCTGTGCCAGTGTCTTCAAGAGTTCTACCTAATTTACTTTCTAGTAAGGTTAGTGTTTGTTTTGATATTTAGATCTTTAATCCACTTGGATTTTAGTTTAGTGCATTGTGAAAGACAGGGATCTAGTTTTAATGTTTGGCAAGTTGAAATCCAGTTTTTCCAACACCATTTATTTATTTTTGGTACCGGAGATTGAACTCGGGACCTTGCGCTTGTGAGGCAGTTCAGCTCCCTAACCCCAACACCATTTATTAAAGAGGCTATCTTTCCTACAGTGAGTATATTTAGCTCCTTTGTCAAGGATGAGGTAGCTGAGTAGGTCTGGCGTTGTTTCTGCATCTTCTAATCTATTGTATTGATCCTTGGGTTACAGCTCTTATTTTTATTTCCTTCAGGAAGTGAGCCCCATAGAAGTCACTACATTGATGGGGTGTATTTCTGATAGGTTGATTCATATTAGATCTCTTGCCTGATACTACTGTTGAAGGTCTTGAATGGAGATATGTATGCAAGAGCTTAGGCTAGAGATACCAGGTATCAGATCCTACTTTGACCTGAAGATATAACCAGTATGTTTTAGGGAAGCAACTTGCTGCTACTACCCATTGAACATATCAGATTCACTACTCCTTCACTACTAAGTGAGGCCACCGCCGTGTGATACCAACCACACAGTGCACTGTGGGAAATCCTGAGGCCACTGCAGTCCTTGCCACAGACCCAGCCTGGCCATCCCAAGACTGAAAAGAGGACAAGCCCTTTTATGATCTCTTCTCACCACTACTGTGAATGTCTCAAGAATACTGATAATGCTTTTTTAACCTTTAAAATGAGCTTCTCCCAATTTAAAAAAAAAAATCAGTGGATTCTGGAAACTGAAGAAAGTACAAAGTAAAAACAGAAATTAGTCTCAATTCCCATAGATAAACATGTTAATATTTTGGTAATATCCTTGCAGCCTTAAACTTTTATATAAATATATATATATTATACATTTATATGAAGCATTAGGACAGAGCATATGACTTTGCACCCATTTGTCATGTTCTTTCACAAGAGCAGATAATGTCTTTAAAGATATTGATTCCATTATGTAAGTAGATGAGAACTTTATACTCCTCTTCCCATATTTAAAAGAAAATTATAATCATTGCTGTCAAAAACATCCTTGAGAGCAAATTTTGACCAACATATTTTGTTGCTTTTTTATAACAAGGCCCTAGGAGGGTAGTTACTAGGGAAAAAGAATCTTTTTTTCTTTTCCTATCCCGGATGTCAGGGATCAAACACAGGGCCCTGTGCACGTTAGGCAAACACTGTACTACTCAGCTTCATCTTGCCAGGCCTCACCTTGTTCCTGGCAAGCACATTGGCTCCTGCTTTAACGAGCAGCTTGGCTGACTGGCTGAAACCATGCCAGGATGCTTCATGCAGGGCGGTGTTCCCATCCTAAGGAACAGACGGGGAAGAAGGCAAATTATCACAACTGAGTTCTTCTTATAACAACCAGCAAATCACACTGGATTTTTCCTGAACACCACAGGCCTTCATCAGCTTGGGTTCTTCATCTATACCACCAAACACAAAAAAGGATTTGGGTGGTCAGTGTCTGCATTCTCGCAGAAATGGTACTTAAGAACATTTGTAGCTACACAATGGAGAAATGAATCCCAATGCCTTAAGCACTGGGGCCTAAATGTCCCTGGGAACCTCTGCTGAGAAAGGTCCCAGGACCCATCCACAGCTCCTGTCTAATAGAAAGAAGCATCCTCAGGATGGCACATTGTCCACTTCTCCCAATGTCCCCTCCGGTCTTGCTCTGCTCTGACACTAGCGTGAACCCTACAAAGATGGGGGAAGAGTTCTGTTTCCTAAGTTCCAGGGCCCTGATAGGTAGGTCCCCTTTCCCATTCCCGACAGCTGTTTTTGCTTCATTTTGTTTTAATAAAAATGTCATCCAGTTTATTCTTTTTTTTTTGGTACCAGAGATCGAACTCGGGTCTTGTGCTTGCAAGTCTGGTGGCGGAACCACTGAGCTAAATCCCCAGCCATTCAGTTTATTCTTAAAGCCCTAAAAAAGCGTAGGCACCAAGAAAACAGTGAATTGTAAATTTGATGAATAAGTGTCCTAAATGTGTGGTTTTAAATAAAACCAATTAGTAAACATAGCTTGTATTTGCTTAAATTAATACTGAAAAAAGAGAAATATTGTTAAATGCAATGAACTAAGTGGAGTAGAGCCAGGAATGTAGGGATCACATGGGGGAAGAGCATGGAGGAGGAGGAGGTAGAGACCCCATGATGTTCCAGGCCAGGGTGCAGAGCACTTAGCAAGAACGATGTAGGTGTATTCTTCTCCGAATATGTTCAGGCTCTGGCTGAGACTTTTACTCAACCACATCTATGCCCCTAGAAATATCTAGAAATACACACGAAGAGACTAGGCCTAATGTAGTAAATATCCACACACACACAAAGTCTAGGGCCCCAGACACCAGGGAGTGGGGCAGTACTGAAAATGGTTTTGGTGATGTGTGGCCTGCCCCAGATGCAGAAGCAGCAGCAAAAGGAAAGGGGAGGAATGGTATGAAACTTCACGGGGCACGGGCTCCAAGGGCTGGAAGGAGATGAGTCTTGACTTTGTGCCTACACAGGTGTGTCCAGGGGGTGAGGCTCATGGAACCACACACTTACGATCTGTGTGCTTTTCTGCGTGTATATTATACTTTAAGGAAAAGCTATTGGCGGGAAGAAGCACAGGTAAATTACACTTATGCAAGGTACTGTTTGAAGACTGACAATTTAAAATCATTGGATCAACATATGTCACTGGGATTTCTTAAAGGATATGAACTTATTAGCTTTTTTTCTTTCAATGGCTTAAAGAAATTAGTTTTCGTATCTAAAAACAAAAAAGTAAATAGACCATCTGAAGGCACATCCTCTTGCCACCTCCTCCAGGACCCCACAGGTGATTTTTTTCCCCCTCTTACCATTTGGATTTTTTCCCCCATTAAATTTATTGGTACACTTAAAGCAAACAATACAGTTATATTTTCATTGGGATCTTATATCTTGACATGATATGTCTTGGTTATTTCTTCCCCATACCCCTCGCCCCACCTTCACCCCCTTCACCCTTCCCTATTTACAAAGACATTTGGATTTATGTGGTTGTTACCGGTGCCATACAAGAGGGAGGGGTTTTTAAATAAATACAACTGGCTGGGATACCAGATATTCTTTCAGAAGAAATGTGAGCTGATTTTATCTTGTTAAATCATGACTGATGAGGCAAGAATAGCCTCTTGATTACTCAGAAGTGACCAAAGCAGCCTCCTTCAGGAGCTGGTCACAGCCCTCGCCTTGATGGCCCCCCTTCACCTTGTCTTGTCTGTCCAGGGCACATCCCTCTTGGATGAGTGCTGCAATGATCTCGGTGTTGCCCACCACTGCGGCCCGGTGCAAGGCAGTCTGGTCCCCCTGCAAAGTGACAGAAGCAGGGACAGTGGTCAGCTCTCCCAGCATACTCCCCCACTCACTCCTCTGCTTCAAAACCAGGACACCTCCTGTCCCCACAAGGAGCAAACTGCTCTGTTGCAGAAGATCTTGGTCATCGCAGGCAAGGTGAGCTCTGTGGCCTTGTTACTAGACAATGCATGCTGCCAGAGCAATATAATTCCCAGGACCTCAAATCACTAGCAAGAAAAACCAGTGGCCTCAGATCAACCTCCGAATGAAGGTCAGATCCTGTTCTGCCAGCCCGGAGATGTGACTGCCACATGTATAAAGAGAGGGTCTGGGAGCTGGGCTGTGTGCACTGTGTAGTTAAACCAATGCTCGTATTCTTTTCCCCTGAGGTCCTAGCTTACAGAGGAATTGCTTCCCAGCCACTTTAGTTGGTAATGCTCATGCTTTGATGACAGGTGTATAATTTGTTCACTGATTTGCACTAGCCAGGAGCAACACAGGTTTGCCCTGCTTCATCTGGGGACTACAGGGACTACCCTATCACTGCACCCACACTGATTTATGCTGCATTTGGACCTTCTTTCTCTGTAATCAGATTCCTGGGATTACTGACCATTTTCCTCCTTCAGGTGCCAAGGGTAACTTGACTCTTTCCCCTAATTGCAGTGAAGAGAAGGTTGAAACACTCCCAGAAGAAGATCAAGACTGTAACAAGAGAGTTCCAAGACTCTAAAGAGCATATTTCATCCCCAACATGTACTCAGGAAGTCAAGTTAAGGCAAATCAAGGCATGGCCCAGATTCGAAAGAAGAGATGGGTCAACAGTGTGGAAACTTTCAGGTGGAAAGGAATGCACACACAGCAAGGGGATCAGGAGACTGGGTTGTGAACAGCCTTGAGAGACATCTCTCACCTTGGTGGGCCTCAGATCTTCACCTGCAAAAATTGGAGGCTGGGACTCCCAAAAGGCCTTCTCTTTCCTTTTTGGATTCTATGATTTGGTTAGTAAGATTTACATAAGCTAATTTTCCTGACTGAGCATGGAGAGACAAAGGACACACTGCAGCATACCCCTGGTCTTTATCCCAAGAGAGGGCACTGTAAGACAGATGACAGAGCTTTAAAACCAGCGACTTACCACTAACTACAAATAGCCTTAATAAAATGCAGAGTCAATTTCCTAACCTCCCCAACCAAAAATGCATATCAAAAGCATTTAATCTGGCGGGGGAGCTACAGTAAAGGATAGTGGTGATGGTTGCACAAAAATGTGCTTTTTGTCACTGAACGGTATGCTTAAAAACAGTTCTGATGTAGCCAGTTCACCCTCACATCCACGATTATCTGTTGCCCCATTGATTGCCAGGGCTGATTCAGCTGATCTGGAAGGCTAGGTGGGTGTCCCTTTCCTCCCTTACCTCTTGCGTCCTTCCCAAAGCTGTGGACTTGGTCTGTGGAAGAGGAGGATTGTTTCCTTGGTCAAGGGTATACGAGTAGCTGAGCTCCCCTGCTAGAACCTCCTAACAAGCTCTCAAAAAGTCATGATGGTACATTTTAGGTTATATATATTTTATTACAATAAAAACTCATTCAATCTTAGTTAAAATTCAAATTTGCTTTCTTAAAAAATAAGAAGTCTCCCTTTAAAAATCCATAAAGGGAAGTGATTTTTTTCCATATACTTCGCAATTTTGTTTTGTTTTGTTTGTTTGTTTGTTTTTTGGTACCAGGGATTGAACTCAGGTCCTTGCGCTTACAAGGCAGGCCACCGAACCGCTGAGCTGAATTGCCGGCCCTATCTTGCAATTTTTAATATTTAACACATATAACTTTGAGCATCAGGAAAAACTACTACAGTCAATTACTATAATAATAGTCTAAGCAATAACTATGTATCAGGAATGGGACTGTTCATGTCCCAGAATTCTTTTCATGGTTCATGTGTAGAATTCAGGGGACTTCAGAGTGATGGGGGTCTGGGCATCCAATCTCATGACCCAACTGCAATCACTGTCCTCAGCGTTGCCATCAGCAACCCTCTCCTTAGCCTCCTAAGCTGTTATCACCCCGCTTTTTTTTGCTATTATCCCACTATTATATGTTAGGTTTAGGCAGGTGGTGGTAAACTGGTTTTCTTTTTTCTTTTTTTTGTACCAGGGATTGAACTTGGGACCTTGTGCTTGCGAGGCAGACGGCAGAACCACTGAGCTAATCCCTGGCCCCTGTCTGGTTTTCTTCTCCACTTTCCAAGACTCTTTATTGACAGAGGACCCTGTTAGTGTGTCACTCAATCAATAAGAGGATGTGGCCAATAGGCCAATCATTCATTACTCATTCCAAACCTCTTCCAAACCTTCTTTCAGAAGAGGAGTGCTTGCTGCTCAAATAAGTCATGAATGATTGTTTAAACTTTAAACTTTTAAACAAATTCCATGTGAATTTCTAAGACTTCCCATTTCCCTATCAGAATGGTCATAGATTTCCCCCAAATGGGCCTCAAGTAGGATTTACTATTGCTGACCTGCTGAGAAAGATGGGTTCTCTGTTCCCAGCAAGAGCTATGAGATTGCACCGTCAGGGAAGTACTCACTTGGTCAGATTTTTAGTTGTTGGAGGACTTTTAATAATCCCACAAACTGCAGGCATCCTACCTTGCACTCCTCAGATCAATGAGAACGACTTTGAGCAGACAAAACTCACAACTGTGTCTGCGTTGTGCAGAAAGTGTGGGCAACATTCTCACTGTAGGGGAGTGGCAGCCATTCTCACTGTACAGAGACCACAGGAAGGGTCTTTCCCTGTTAGGGCACAGTCTGACCTACACCTTGGTTCAGTCAAATGTTGTATCATGTTTCATAGCTGCTCGCTAAATCATGACCTAAGGCAGATTTTGAGCTGTCCTAGTACCAGTACTTATTACTTGCTTTCATCATTACCGAATGTTATTTGTTCCCTGCAGGACTTTCCTTTCTGAAACTCTAGCTCAATTCAAGTATCTTACCCTAACTTTCAGTGCAGTTCTTAGGAGTTAATTTATAGATGGATTATCAAGATTCAAGGAACTCTACTGAACACAGATTTTATCCAGGCGGCTGGCACAGGCGTCTACTGCATGCCTTTTTCCTCTGCGGGAGCTCTCAGCTGCACTCCCTGCCTGTTCCAGGCCACAATGCTTCCCCCTCTTCCTTTACTCCTATTGGACAGTGACTTGCACAGAGCCTGGCTCTTTGCTTCCTTAGTCAGATAGACTAGATAGACACTGCTGTGTAGGAGACAGTAGTGCTTTTCTCCCCATAAGTGGCTGTACTTGACTGGATGGATTAGTTTTCATCATACTAGCTGGAATGGTTCTGGAGGACTGAGCAATAAATGTTCTCTGGCTTTTAAAAACCAAACACTCTTAAGTTATCAGGATGGCAACTAAAGACTCAGAGAGACAAAACAGAGAAACAGGGCCAGGTATGTTAGCACACACCTTAATCCCAGCCCTCAGGAGGCCAAAGCAGGAGGATCAGAAGTTCAAAGCCAGTCTGGACTACATAGGGAAGCCCTTTCTCAAAGGATAAAGGATCGCCACAGGCTATCACCGTGGAACCACTTCCATACAACACAATTTAACAGCTAGACCCTCAGCTGAAAAAAAGTCAGTTACCCCTGGAATCCACTCTTGGCTCCCCTGTATTAAAATTTAATGCTGAAACATTTACTCAAAACATGATAAAGATGCTGAGCTCTACATACTAAAGGACCCAATTTTGACGTAATCCTTGTTTCTATATAATCTAAATCAATCATGAAATCCTGAAACTTTGAAAAGAAACTGCTGGGGAAAATACAGGTCTCACACAGCACTTTTTCAATTTTAGTATTTATTGATTTCTTACTACATAGTGGTATGGCATCTAATTCTTTCATTACATTGGTGAGTCTCACCTAGGATAACTAGTTAATTTCAGGTATCACAGCTGGGCCAGAATTCAAATTGTGAAGGATTTTTGTATTCACTCTAAGCAGCTTCAAACCTACGAGGTGAGTTAACCAAAGAGATGGATCTCCAGGGTGGGGCTGCCTCATTATGCAAGCTAAGTGTTTATGTTAGAGCCTCGGCCACTATAGGAACCCAAGACATATTTGTTGAATGATTAAGTGCAAAGAAGCAAAGGAAAAAATGCTGTAGGCAGACTTGAAAAGCCAGTAACCCTGTGTTTGGCACTCTGATTTGCAATATGCTGATCTGTTTGCAGAAGAACATGAACTGCCAGCTCTCGGCTTTTCTGACACATTGGTGTTTCTTGTTTAAGTGCTTTGGAATCTCTGAGGTCCACATTTTGTTTTGAAATACTTTTATTTTTTTCTCCTGCGAGGTAGAAAACAGTTGAGTATTCCATAGCCAAGCTCAGGAAAGGAACCCAAGGCAGGCAAAGTTGAAGGGCAGAGCCCTCCCCAGGTGCAACGGCAACGTGTTACGAGGAAGTGAAGGCAAGGTAAGCTCGCAAAGCAGTTGCTGACCTCGGTGTCTCTCTCTGATCTTCCAGAGTTCTTCCTAGCTTTTCTTCTGTGGTTTTTCTTAATTTATTCTTCCTTTATGTCTTTTACTGTAGCCACAGGGTCTTGGACTATTTCTGAGGAGGGGGGCATGTGGCTGCTCATTGAGCAGTCAGAGATGCTGTTAGGACTCCACTGAAGGTTGCCAGGATGGGTGGGAAGCAAGAAAGAATTTGCACCTGGAGTTGCATATTCTAAAGAACTGGTTTCCACAAGTTGAAATTCATAATAATCCCACTCCAGGCCACTGGAGGTCATTCTTCTACTAATTCTCAGTCCTTAACATGCCATAAAGATCAGTATCTGTAGAATATGAAGTTAGGAGTAAATTCTTGACATCAGCATTCTCTGCCTACCTGTCCGAGAGAGGTAACTCCTGCAATAATTTTCCCCAATAATTGACCTCCTAGCCTCTACAAAGCCTATAAAAAGATTTCCTCCTTAAATTCTTGCATAGATTTCAAGGCTGATCATCAATGATCATGATAAAGACATCAGAGACAGCCATGGATTAAATAATGGCCAAATGCAGAACTTCAGAAGTAGTGAAGGTCAAACCTACCTTCTACACACCCACATTTTTTTTTTACATTGTTTGTTACTGTTGTGCTATGTGTTCTCTGTCTAGGGCAAAGAAAAGATGTAAGAAAATTTCAATAAAGGAAAGAGAATGCCTGTCTATAAGCAGAGCTGGCTTTCCTTCTGCCAACACATCTTGTGACAATTCCTGCTTTTTTTTACTATTGCCTCTCCTGACAGAGCAGCAGCGACTTTAGGAATGAGCATGGCCTTGGCTGCAGAAGAACAGTGATCTTCAGAGTGCCAGACCTGGGCAGGACTGTTAGGTGGGATGGCTCAGCATGCTGGGCACTTCGGATTTGCCATCATGACAAATGAGGGCTCTGATTATGCAAAGAGAAGACCAGATGATCCCAACATGTTTATGCTAGCAATTCGAGACTCCTCCTTTTCTGTGGTCAGCATCTCTTTCCTCTCCCTGTATTTTCCTCCTGTCATCTAAGGAGATGATTTGGGTCAAGAATGTTATGTTGGTTACAATGTGGAAAAACAAAGTATTATGATTAAAGGCAAAAATCAATGGCTTAAGGCTAATCAGCATCTTTTGAAAATAACATCCTTGATTTCGGACATATCTAGAGATTTGAGGCATACTAGATGACCTTCTGCCTGTGCAAAAAGTAATGCCATATTATCTTTTCAATCACTGTCCTTTTTCACTTGTAAATGTGTTTGCCAAGTGGTAAGACATTGCACAAAGACCAAAGGAAACCTTGAAGTACTTGAACAGCTGAGGGTCTGAAATTTGCCGCTGTTATTAAAGGTGAATTTGGCACAGATTATGATAAGGGCAAGCTCTCCACAAGAGTCTATGTTGCTTACAAAATTTCATATTTCTTACAAATCTACCACACAATTTAAGAGTTCAAACGGTTTCTGAAAAGTTTCCAATCACATTATCACGGGACCTTTTCCTAATAACTCTTTGGGGGAAAATCCCTTGTTAGAGAACTCACCTTCTCTGAAGATCAAATAGGGCAATACTATGTCCATTATGACCCATCCCCAGCCACTTCTCATTGACTCAGAAATGGTCAATCCATCCCAGAGAAGCCAATCTGAGTCCTCTCTAGATAATCTGAATGCGCAGACTCAGAGCTGAGTTGGTGGTAGGTTGATGGTAGCCATGTCTCGATAATAGCACAGTACCAGAGTGAACTCTTTCTAGAGGCCTTCATTCGCTTGGATTCCATGAGATTGACCCACACCCCCATCCTCCTAGAATAAATCCTATTCAACTAGAATGAGAGCTTCTACTCACATCATCCTGAACATCCAGGTCACAGCCAGCCTTCAGCAAGATTTGAACCACAAAAAGATGGCCCTTATTGGCAGCAAGGTGCAGGGGAGTCCGGCCATGCTGTTAATACAAAACAAACACTGATTTCAGAACAAGACATCAAAGCCATTCCTTTGCTGGTGGGGGCAGAGGGCTGCAGCAAGGTTTGCACAATAGTTTTCAAGGAGATAACCCCCCTGCCACTTTGGTTTGAAGGGAGTGACTTAGGAATTTGCCTAGAACTCAAGTTGTCTCAATTAACTTTGGGTATTGGCATTGTAATCAATGAATTGAACATACTTAAAATGTGATGATTTCATTGAGTACAGTATATATTTCTATTCCTTACTCATAAGCAGCAAAGTAAAAAGTAGCAAAATGAGGGGTTTTATATTTTATTTTCCCACTGGTGCTAATACTATGGGAAGCTGATGTGCCACAATGAAGCTGACCTGGGTAAGGGGTGAGAAAATGGCAAATTTCAAGCTAATCAGCCCAAGAAAAACCCAGTTAGTACTCCTTAAAATAAAACATCACAATCAAACTGATTAGGAAAGGCTTTCTTCCATTTTATGGAAAAATAAAACAAAATTTCATATAGAAATAAGAGAATAATAAAAGTTAATACACAGTGTATCATAATTACAAGAGTAGTTACTCAGAGTGCAAGCCATAGACAAAAAAGACCTTAATGAAGAAGCACATAATAGCATAAAACTTTCTTTTTACTACTAAGAAAAACTAATAGTATAAAAGAAACAAACAGGCATATATATTAAAATAGTTTTGAAGCAACAGAATAGGTAATTTGGGGAATTATTTGAACTTCTCCCTACTCCCTATCTTCTATTTTGTTCTTTATTTGTATATATATTAATATAATAAGGATACATAATATATATATTGAGTTTCTTGTATAAGACACCATGTGATATTTAAGCTTATATGTCTAACTTATTTCACTTAACATTATGTTCTCATGCTGCATCCATTTGCTTACAAACACCTTGTTTATTTTTCTGTATGGCAGAGTAGAACTCCATTGTGTAATCATGGCCTATTTCAGACATTCAAAAATATAATATTTTAAACTCTACTCACTCACCAACCACCTTAAGAAAAGCTCAGAGAACTCCTACCATTCCTTGGGAATACTGTCCAGATCTCATCCCCTCTAGCTCACTCAAACTTTGGTATGCATCGTTTCTTTGGCTTTCATTGTTTTCACTACCTATTGGTGGCCAGAGACAATAGAAAAATATGGTTGTGCATATTTCAAACTTTATATCAATGATATTAAACTTTACAGTATCACTCAGCATTCTCTGTCCATTATATTTTGGAGATTTTTTCCCCCACTGTTACATGTAGCTCAGTTTACTACCCATTACTGATGGGCACCAGATCTTCCCACAGTTTGCAGAGCACATCTGTGTACTCCACTCCTTGTGTAGTGAGTGGGTTTCTCAGCCCTCTGGGTACATCATAGAGAAGTCTGTTCCCTCAGCTGCTCTCAGCACATGGCTCCTGGGGTACAACATCAAGGGTGACACCCAGAGGAAATAACACTTTTTGGTCTAAATTAACTGACCTTGCCAAACTCCTACTTCTCCAAAGGAGATATTCTGTTCCTTTGGTTTCCTCTCTCAGGATTCACTGTAAAAAAGGGTTTATGCATCATTTAGCCTTAGCACCACCCATGCTGAGAACAGCACTAAGGAATAAGGGTCTCACCAAGCCTTACTTCCTGCTTAGCATTTCCATAAAGACCTAAAGGTTGCTATTAATATTCTAGCAGGATAAGCCCATTTATAATCTCAATAAAGCACAACCTGCCATGGATAACTAGCCATGGAAAAAAACAAAGGTAATGCACAACAAAGGATCTTAACTTCTACCCATGAAATGCAATCAGAGCACTAGAATGAGTCTGGAAAGAGAGGTCACAGCTCACTTTAAAATTAGAATTCTTAATTAAGAACAAAGTTATTCCCAAAAAGTGGGCTATTACATGCCTTTATTTAAAAAAGACCATGTCTGAGATGAGATGGAATGACCTTCATTTGCTGGTGATTATGCTCAGCCATGTGCTACTTAACCCTGATTCTTTCTTTTGGTACTGGGGATCAAACTTGGGACCTTGGGCTTGCGAGGCAGGCAGCAGCTCCACTGAGCTAAATCCCTAGCCCTAACCCTTATTCTTTAAATGATGTGTCCAGAGCTGATTAGACAGAGCAATATGAGTGGGTTTCACTCCTTGGGCCTGTTCTCATCTGTCATCATGTGTCCTGGTCAAGGACCTCACACTTTGACACTGAATAAGTGACTTTCACAAGTTTCCTAAGGCATTCTGAAGCACAGGAGAGTTTATCACAGGTGTGAGGAAAGGTTTGAGTTGTGAGGAAGGTGACAACATGGTTAGACAAAAATGTCTGCAAGTAACCAGAAAACATAGACCAGAGACCATAATGCGGAGAGATGCTGGGGTAGGAGCACAGATAGAGGAGTCACTGGGTATTATAGGCAGGGGAACCCTGGGAAACATATTCGCCACCAGCCAGGTCTTTCTGGTGGAGAGGTAGCCCAACATGTATAAGTTTTGTTCAAATGAACAGAAATAATAGAAGTCAGGTGAAGGAATGCTGCTGTGGTTCTGTTATAGACTGAGTATGTTTACTCTCAATTAATGTTTGGCCCTGAAATTCACATATTTAACCCCCACTGTGACAATATTTGGACCTGGGGGCTTTGGGAAGTGACTATGTCATAGCTATGAGCCCTCATGATGGGATTAGTGCCCCTATAATAAAAGATAATGAGAGCATTCTGCTGCTTTTCTTTTCATCTCTTGAGGATACAGCAAGAAGGCAGCTGCGTGCACACCAGAAAGTGGGACTCTCACTCAACCGTGGGTGCTGGCCTCTGACCAGGGACTTCCTGGCTTCCGGAACCATGAGAAACAAATATCTGATGTACCCAATCTCTGGTATCTTGTTACTAGGACAAGTTCCAACCAGATCACAACTGGAAAGGAAGGTACTTCAGGAGCTATAAATTACAAACAAGATGCCCTGGGCTGGAGGCCATCTCCTTTATCTACTGTCAACAAAGGGTCCTCCCTGTGTAGAAATGAAAGGCCAGAGGCACTGGAGCTAGACAGGTCTGGTTCACATCCCACAGGTAACACCTCTGTGATTTTGTACACGACAGCGTCCTAACATGCTTTCTCATTTGTCAAACATGAACACTCTCCACTAGCCCCTCCAGAGGCTTAAGATATGTGGTAGCATCCACCATCTCATGTGTGTTCCCCTTGCGCCCTCCTACCTCTGTAGGCAGCCCAATTTTTACCCCTCCTCAATACCCCACAGCATAGCCCTACCAAAGACCAGTGAGATATTTCCATTGTCAAATAGATCTATAGGAGGGTCTTAAATCACTGAGATTTTAGCTGGAGGGTAGAGGGCTCCACCAGCCAGTCCTGACGTGGTCTTCCACTTCCACTCTTGAAATACAGGTTCCTATTTTCTGTGTCTCTGCTTGGAAAGGCCTTCCTTACTGGGAGCACCCTTCTCCAAACTATGCCTCTGATTCCACAGTAAGATACGTCCTCAGCTTGCCTTCTCCACACTGACAGCACTGCAGCTCCCGGTAAGGGAAGCAGAGCATCCTGTTGTGTCACCTGTGCTTGGTCTCCTGAAGGCCAGGGACTATACTTTCCCCAAATCGCAAGCCAGGTCAACTCTAGGGTAGCATGAGGGCAGTATCAGAGAGGCCCCAGTGTTTCTCAAGCACAGGGCAGGACCAAATTCAACAGTCCTAGGTTTGACTTTGGGGAAATACATGAAGATATTGGGGTGGGTACAAGTTTCAATTTAGGATATCTCTGCCTCTCAGAAGAGGTATCGTACTGGGAATTTCCGAAGAATTTCAACAGCTGCAGTAGTTAACACAAGGTCTGTACCCCCTTGTACACTTGGCTTCTTTGCTGGCATCTGGGAAGGGTTCAGGGGCAGAAAGCAGAAACCTGTTTCCTACGGAATATGAAGCTGTCCAATTCAGACCCCTTAGCTGTCCCAGCACAAGACAAAGTCCCTCCATACATATACCACCAATCAAAAGAAGAAAGCAAGAACGAAGAAATAGGCTTGGCTTTCCAGAACATGCTGTAGTGAAAAGCAACAAAAGTAGGGCCCTTCAGTGGAATGGTTGCCTCGCCCAGGGCACAGAAATGTCTTCAGACTGTGCCTGATTTATGGGGAAGCCTGGAACATCTCATTGTGAGGGAACATCATCGTCAAAAACACCCTGGTCCTTAGAGGCAACTTTGAATGACTCAGATTTAGGATCAACTGTTCTTATTTCCATGCCCCTAGGTCTGGTCAGGGAAAGAAATGATGATAGCAGTAAAAGACCCAGTGCTGTGAATGATAAGAGGAAGAAGCTTTTAAAGCCTTAGTTTGCCCTGAGTTTTAACCTAAAAGATCTATTCAGTCTGACTCACCCCAGGCCCTGGTGGCTCAGAGAGACTAATATTTATAAAGGCAACAGCGGTTAACTTTACTGCATGGTACACATTTTCCTTTTTTTTTTTTTTGAGTTTCTTTATTAAGTCTACCCCCAGCCAGGGGAAGAGGATAGACTATGATTACTGTGACCCCCCTCACCCCAGGACGCTGTGAATCTCTTCTTGTCTGTGCCCTCACCCCTCCCCCTGCCCAATAAATAAAAAGGGGACAAGAAAGTACAGGGCGAGGGAGAGGAGAGGAGGAGGACACCCCGGGGCCAGGACAGTGTCTGTGTTGAGGGTGAGCTGGGCAGAATAAATAGACACAGACCCCCATGGTGGGGATGAGGAAGATGTAAGGTGCTGCACGACCTCACCCTGGGCAGGAGCAGGGGTGGGTGGGAGCCTGCCTGCCCCCAGAGCCCAGTGGTATGGACGAGTGAGAGCCCTGATGGCAGCTTTCTGTTCAAGCCTGCCTCGGTCAAGTCTTGCCACAAGGGACTAAGAGTTCTGCTGCCAAGACCACCATCTCGTCTTCTTGTCTCCCTGGTGCAAGCTGCCCGTGCTGGGCTGG